ATTTTCAGGACCCCACCTTGAAGTTTTGGGACCCCACTTTGGGTCCCGACCCCAACTTTGGGAAACACTGATCTAGAAAGAAGCTGAAAGGCAGCCGGTCTCGTTAGCTTTTGATTTTTTGCTTTTCATCTGATTACAGATTCCAAACATCAGACTCTGTTTGTTTGTGTTTAATTCCATCCAAGTGCTTGTTCCAACAGGTCTGCGGCGCTCCGGGGGACGCTCCCTGCGGGGAGAGCCCGTGTGGCGGAGCAGGCTGCCGTGACGATGAGGGGAACCGTCACTGTGGAGGCCTGAACTGCAACGGTGCCGTCGCAGCAGCTGACAGTGCTCTGGAAAGAGCCAAACATGCAGAGAAGGAGCTAAACAAGGCGGTGGGGGAGATGCAGGGCCTTTTTAATAAGGTACAGTGCATACAGCAGGTAACTCACAGATGATGAACTATTAAGATGCTGCTGTTTTCAATAAGGCTGTTTCACTGCTTAGTGGGAAAAATGAAGAAAATGAAAAACAAATACGTAAGAACAGGGAAACATTTCAAAATGGAAGTTTTTTCTTCTCTTTTTAGATCTGATCCAAGTGTGTCACTGGAGGAGATGATGTAACACAGAGGAAAATACTCATTTATCCAGAGCTTTTTAGAACGAGCTGCTGGGTTGAGATGGAAATTTAGGTTTTTTTGTTTAATAGTTTTTTGTTGTATTTACATTGTGAACTAGTTTGAAAAAATAGAAACAGACCTGTAAACTTGATAAACACACATATCAGGGCTATTCATCTGGCTGGTGACTTCCTGCCAATGACTCACTCACCCCCAAAAATATATATATTAATTAGTGCTGGGCACGCTAACGCGTTATTATCGCTGACAATTAACAGCGATAATTTTTTTAAAGCACGTTAACACAGTTTCTTTACATTTCTCTGTCTGATCTCTGTTCTCTGGGCTGCCAGTTAAGACACACACACACACACACACACACACACACACACACACACACACACACAC